GTCACATCACCTATGGATCTTGTTAATTCAGATCTAGTGTAATATTCATCTGTGTTCTCCAGCTATGCAACACACCTGGAGTTGGCAAATTAATAAAAATTATCAGTAATTAAAGGAAAATGTAGTTTCTTCCTTTTCCTGTTCAAATGAATGCCAGTTTGTGCTTCAGACCTGAAGTTCGTAAAACTGAGATTTTTTACTGTCCTATAACAAATATGTTTTCATTGTGAATGAAATCTAACACTGGAAACTTGGGTTAAAATATTACCCTGAAGAGTCCAAAGCAAATGAAGATAGTAGAAATCCTATCAATAAGTAGTTGTCTGGCAGTTAAATGAGACTGAACAGAATTAAATATACAACAGCATATGGTATTTTCATTGCCCAAAGTAAAAAACAACCCAACCTACACTAAAAAGAAGCTGCTCTGGAGCTATGAACAGTTTTTGTGGGGAACACCCCAAAACTTTGATGAAGGAGGGCTTTAATCAGAAGCCTTACTGGTATTATTGATGATTGGCCATGATATGTGGGAAAGGCCATGCCTGGACTGTGTCTGAAAGATCATTAATGAGCACTGCTAAAAAGGTTTTCAGTCCACATCAGCTTGTCTTTTACAGAAAATAATAACCTTTAATTCTAGTGTGTAACTGAATGCCAGACAGCAGTCACTGGGAGGGCTGACACATCACTTAGCTGGAAGATGCTTATTTAGAGGGGCTGAAAAAAGAAGGTGCTTTCAAATGCCCAAGGTATTTTTGTCTATTTGACACTAAACTGGCAACAAGTAACCCAGATTAACCGATGTGAAGTGCAGAATTAGCTATATTAGGCAAACCATTTCACTTTTTAAAATTCTATTTCCCCTCAGAGGGCAAGTCAGTCCTGTTGTGTGAAGTGTAGAGGGGAGAGGCTAGAGCCAAGTTCAAACCACCCAGCTCCAGCAGCAGAAACAGAAGAGGTCTCTGGAAATGTGAACTACAGGATTAGCCCAAGGGCTAAGCTGCCATCCCATAGATAAACCTATGCATGCGTTTTCTTTATACAGGGGTGGCATCTTAGCCTCCATGGTCAAACAAATCACAGCTCTGTGGGACTTGATTCCCTGCCCAAATTCCTTCCTTAAGCAAGTTGTAGCTTATTTCTTATTCCTTGCTACTGCGCTGCAAGTAGAAAGGATGAACTCTGGGGGAAATGAGCAAAGAGCCATGGCCAATGTTGTTTTTGTTGCTCTTGATATCAAAAGGGGTCATATGGACCAATGTCGTATTATTGGGAACGTCTTTCCTTCCCTGGTAGTACTCCTGCCACCATCTCTGGATGTGGTAGGTGAGCATCTGGAGCACTCAGGAATGAAAGTCAACCTCTAGGGAGTGTCCCAGGCTTGAAGAGTCACTTCCCACTTTCTCCAGAAAAAGGCAAAACAGGCAGACTAGCTGTAATATCCTTTACAAAGGCCATTCTGCTGCTCCCAAGTCTGCTGCTCTCAAAAATGCAAAGTTGTATATACCTTACACTTGCTTTTGGTTGGCTTCAGCTTAATTCTCAGCTTGGTCAGATCTCTCTGCATTGAAATCTCACTTTCTGATAAGGTCATAGTGGAAAATATGGTGAAGATCCTCTAAAGGAAGCCAAAATTTCAAGTGGTTTCTGACCAGAACAGTGAGGACTGTCTCCATCTAAGCCAATATGACAATGTGCCACCTCACCAGGAATGCTGGCCCTAGGTAATGGCAGGCAAACTATGTCTGGGAGACAGATGAAAGAAGTAGATGAAAGTCATGGTGGGCATTAGTCAAGAAACTTTAAACTGAGGACTGACTAGACAATGAGAACTACCAGAAATTCACAAGGAGATTATTCACCATCAGTAAGTTAATCTGACACTGGATGGTGCCTAAAAAATTATAACTTTGTACTTTACATTTAATTCAAGAAAGTATGCATAAAAATTATGATTGCTTTATTAATGTTTTAAACAACAACTTAATATGTCTTCTCAAAGGAAAAGAATAGTAAACTCAGCTTGTTATTCCTTCATCACCTTGATGTTTAATTCATGTTTTGGTTTCGGGTTTCTCCAACATACTATGTAATTTTTACCACCAGTTTGGAGGTTTATGCTGTGTTGACTTTGCCTCCCATTGAGTTACTTTTTTGCCTGCCATATTTAAACCACTGATTAGTAGTTTTAATGTTCTAAATCACAAAGGATATCTAAATACCACGTAGGAAATGAGAGTTTTAAAAGTAGTTTTGGGCTTTATAAACAAGTGTGGGAGGCAAATTTAATGGAAACTTAGCTAAGAGACTGAAAGAAACCCTGATGCCAGCAGAATTCCTTCTTTCAGTCTACTATTGCAATAAAAAAGACAAGCCAAACTTTGATACAGAGAGTTCATGAGCTCTATAAAATTTTATTTTGAGTTTTGTTCTTTCTTTAAGGCCTAATTTCTTTTTGATGATCAAAAATACTGCAGTTATTTGTTTGAATATGTACTATCAGCTGGTGCTTTGTCTAACTTATGTTTTCCCTGTAAATTAGCATACTGGTACTGTGATGATAAAGCTCTTAAACTGCAGGTACAAAGGGCAAAATTAATGCCTGACATATGACCATTTGCTGCTTGGTGTTACAGAAGGGATACCTTGGATTAAACAGGAGCAGTGGTCACCAAGATGTCTTAAGGTCTGTGAGCAAGATGTGCATTATCCACCCTCCTATAATATTTTCCTATTTTTTTTCTGTGGGAGAGGAAATTCTTTTGTCCTTGCCCTGGATGGCTGTGTGACTTGGTACCCTATGACAGAAAGATTTGTCCCCAGTAGGCACCAATGACTGCTCAAAGAAGGAGGTTTAGAAATGAATATAGCAAAGACGAGGCCTCAAAAAGAGAGCAAAGCCTGGGGAAAAGATGGTGCTAGAGGCTCTCATGGAGAAAGAAGCTTGAAAACTGGATTGAAACGAGGAAGAGAAACTCCCTCTCCTGTCTTTTGGACAGTTTTCTTATTGCTATTGCTTCCTACACACACACAAACGTTTGGTAAAGCAAGAATAGAGCAATGGTCCCTTCAACTTGAAATGCTGTTTCTGATGCTGAATTAGGTCTGAGTCTTCTAGTAAATCCCAGAACTGAGATCCTTATAAAAAGCTCTTGAGGGAAATTCTGCTAAATCTCAGTCACTTAGTGTCTGGGTTATAGTCTGGAAGGATCCCATCCTCATCTGCTGTAAGCAGATCTCTGCAGATTTGTATCTGCAAAAGGCCTCCCCTAATCCATATAACTAAATGATCTTATCTTCATAGATCAAGAGCACGTTTTTGAATCCTGGAAAGCATTTTTTACATCAAAATCTGACTTCCAGAGACCAGTTACACATACTTCAGGAAAGTGTCTAAGTAATTATAGATGTACTGCATTTTCTTACGTTTGATGCTAATGTGCCACATTCCGTTTGCTTTATCATGAAGCAGCAATACCTATATCTCTCTCTGTCCTTCACATTCTCTCATCTCCCTGGATAAATCTTTCATCTAAACCAAGTAGTTTTAATTTTCTTCCCACTCCATACCAAATCCTCTTAAATAATTATTTATCCCTTTCTATTTCTACAATTTCCTTTTCTTTCCCTGGCAAAGAACCAGAGGTGATGTCAGCTCTGCTACGAATGCAGCTGTTGGTGGCACAGGATGCACTGCATGCTAATCATTTGAATATTTACCCAGCTTCATGGAGGGGTTCTAAAGCTACTCTCAGAGCCATACTCAGACAGCTAGTTTAAAGCTAGTTTGGTTTTCTCTGCAACATGCTGTGATGTCCTGTTTTACCACTCACAATGATGATGTTCACTTTCTTTTTCTTACCAGAAACTCACATCTTATTTTTTTTTTAACTTATTATAGCTGTGACTGTACAACAAGCAGATACTTACATCAAAACCATTCCTTAAGAATGCCTAAGTGGCTACAGTTAATTAGTGATGAGGCTGTATGGGAATTTTAAGATACGTTTTCCAATGTGCTCAACCAGTGCCTTGCATAAATGAAAACTTTCTTCATTACTGGGTTGCCCAGCTGCCAGAATCTTTGAAATTACTGTCAAAAGCATGCAAGTGTCTTTGTTCATGAAAATAATTGTAGATAAGTGAATACATTGGCACCTCCTGGTTCAATCTTTCTTCTGGATATTTCAAAGTAATGTTGATCCTGCAATTTGTTCCTGTGATAAATATTATATTAGCATGCCTCTTCCTGGCTCTCATATTAACAAGGACATTTATTCTGGAAAGGTGTGTCATATGTAAAACAACTCAGTGAAATCAAAGTGTAGCACATATTACACAGCTTTGAGTCTTCCAATTAGTACTCCTTTTGGAATGATCATTTTGTTCTAACTTCTTTATTTTGTTTCAAATGTCTAATCTAGTTTCGAAACTTTATACTTAGTTGAAAGTGAAATGTAAAGTTGCAGATTGTTGTTATGTAAGTACAAAAAGCCAATATTGCCAAAGTACTGATATTTAAGCTGAAATGTGACAAACTGCATGGCTAACTAGTAAGTGAAAACACACTTGGATGCTCGTCTGAAAATGATATGTTGGACTCGATGCATACATACCTTTGTATCCCAAAATGGCTACTGTGATTGTTAGCAGGGCACATAAAATATATAATAAGATGATGGAAAACTTCAGTGCCCAGTTATTTTTACACTTGGTACATTGGCTCCCCTCCTGAATACCTGCAGAAGAAGATTTAAAGAATTTTAAAACAATGGCAAAAACACATTCCTGGTTTTATCTCCCACTTCCCATCCTCTGTTTTCTATGCTTTCCATGATACATGGGTGCCTATTTGCCTATGCTGCCAGGATAGCCTTCACGGTGGTTAAAGCATCAGCTCAGTCAAACAATCACTTTGGGATTTTAGCATGTGGAAGAGAAGTATGTTCTGCTGCATTGGTAAACCTGTGGCTTTCCTGAGAGACAGCTGTTTTCTGATTGTGATAACAAGACTATGGTGAGCTCTGGAAATCAAATGTGTATTAGCATCTCCTCTGCAAAGCATCACACTGCAGCAGCTCGTTCTTAGCATTCAGTCTCCCTGTGGGGGCAATAGGAGACAATAAATGCTCCGGCAGAAGGAAAACATAGGAATTAAATAGCAATGTGAAAACCTGCTAGGAACACTGGTCCTGCTTTGTAACCATTACCACAGATGGTTACCATGTGAACATTTTCCACAATGAGAGAAACATTTTTTTCTTATTTTTGGAGAATTTGGGGAGTACTATTTCTACCAAAAAGAAGGAGTGCTTTACTGATAAAGCCATCAGTACAGCCACAAAAAAATGCTGGTGAATTTCCCTTTGTGGATAAACTTAAGAAAAAGGGCCTCAAAGTGATGAGAGAAAACAGGTCTTTACTATTTTATATTTGAGCTTTTAGCAGAATGGCTTGGTATCTTTGAGTCTACTAGGAAAACAATTTTCCTCTTTTGTCCATGTGCTCCTCAGGAACAGCTTGAGAGCATGGGAAGCATTGATTATTAATCAGAAACAAAAATGTGTAAAAATTGGATCACTGTGCTGGAACAAATGGGTGGGATTTATCCCTCTTTCCAAGGAGCATTAAACAGGCCAGGATTAATGTAACTTTCTGTGTCTGTCAGAAAATGCATTTCTTTGATATTTCACTCTATTTGTGTACTATTAGGGGAGTCCCACAGGAAAGCTTTAAGCTCTAATAAATTCTATGTACCAGATTACTTAACTAATCAAGACTTGCTCTGTAGCTTTTTATGAGTAACTTATATTTCCCCCGAGGCCTAACCCACAGATGATTTTACTTTTCCAAACTCATGACCTTCTGCAGAGTGGTTTTTTTTATTTTTTATTTTTTAAGAGAAAAGCACAGGCCACTTCCCCTGGGTTCACGGAGGATGGGTGACCGACATAGTGAGTTAAGTCAACTGTATTTCTCTCTCAAAGAAAAGTATTTTCCAATGACTTCCTTAAGCCCAAGGTACCTGAAGGAGGAGGGATTACCTTATTGGAGCAACTCAGGAAGAGGATTTATATAAAGTTTATTTGACAAGGCATTTTCCTTAATTCCCTCTGTGCATATACTAGCTGTGGCTAGGGCAGAAATGCATCTCTCTCAGGTCAGGCCACTTTCCACATTATGTCCTCACATGTATTTTCTAAACTTTTCAGCTGTGACATCACATTCTGCTGCCATGTGATGAAAGCAATATCATAGATTTGGGTTCCTTGGGGTTTAGGCATAACATCAGTTGGGAACATCTGGTTCTTTTTTTCAGGAACAGGAATGTTAGGGGAAAATGAGACAAAGACTTATAAGCATAAACGCAAGAACAGAAAATCCAGAGGGGAAAAGCTTCTCTCCTGACTGTGAGGTCGGAAGGGAGGGAGCTGGCACAGAGACAGGCAGTTGCTGACTTGGATTTGGGAGGCTAGTAACTCCTGCACCACAAAAGAAAAGGTGAAGGGTCCACAATTCAATGGCCAAGTTTGCTTATGGATGCTGATGCATGGGCTGGCTTGCTTTGCTTGGTTGACAGTCTCAAGGAGCTTGCTAGTGAGGAAGCTCTAGTTGCTGAAAAAAACAGAAAGGAAAAGTGCAGTTTTCTAAAGGTTTGCAATAGTTATTCAGAGACTGAAATTATTTCACCGTGGGAACTCATGGTGCCTAGAGCACTATTTTGCTGCTATTAGCTGGCACTAATGGGCTCACTGAGGCCCTGTGCCCTGAATGCAAGGTTCCTCTCCCAAAGGGTTTAAAATTCAGATTCCAGTTTGGTAAGTCTTTGAAAACCCCACATATCAAAATAACACAAGAAGCTTGGGGCAAAACACACATCACATTCACCTTCTAAGTACACAGATAACAGAAAGCTTGATCCTCCCTATTTTAATGTTAATGGAAGCAAGACCAGATCCTTAACTGGGAAGACTGATAGACTGCAGAGGGACAAAACACAGAGAAATGCAGACATAAAAACAAAGCCTTTGACAGCAATTGCACATAGAAAAGTTTCACTTGATAACTGTCTCATATTAAGATTACTCATTTTATGACATGACCTGCTTTCTGTCACCATATCCCGACTTCTTGGGTAGTGTAATGAGCTGAAACTTCACTGATGTCACTAGATGTATTGCAGTTCAGCATCAAGCAGTATGTATGTTCAGTACTTCATAAGGATCTAGTTTCACTTGTCTCAGCTCTCCCTAGCCCTGGTTTAATAAAACAGCACTTCGGCTTTTTGGAACTTTTACTTTCAGCATATTTCAAACTGACATCAGAAGAGCACCCCAACAAAAGCCAGACCTTTCCATCCTTTAACAGTCCAGCACTGTTGGTATCAGTAACACAAACACAGCATACTAAAGTGATCATACAGGCTAGAGTGATTCCATTAACAGAGCTGGGCTGAAACTGTGTATTGCATTGCTTGCTGGAGCAAGTCTTTCAGAGCTAATAAATTTGCTCTTGATTTCAAATATGTAGTGCTTAACTCTGCTGCTGCAGAGTACTGCAAACACCTGATTTTCTAGTTTACTAAACATATAAAAATAACTACAAAAATACCAAAGATAGAGGTACCTTGAAGAAAAGATTTGGAAGACTCATTCTGATGTCTTTCTGTGCAGTTATGTAATTCAGGCTATAAGCAAAGGCAAAAGCTAGGAATGCAACCCTCTCTGTATAGGGATAAATTACAGTATGATCAGGGCTCCACAACCTCCCCAGCACAGAGCCTGACTTCAATGTGCCCTGTTGCTCTTCCCAACTACCCTGCTTAAAGGTCGCACCCAAATACGATTGTTCTAGTACAGGAGATACATTTAGCCCATGATATGAGGACACATTTTTATTGGAAGGTTGCTCTGAAAAGATGTGATAGCCAAAACATTAAGCAACAACAAATAGGAGAAAATTTCAAATGCTGACTGTGATTGCACAAAACCCAGCAGGTTGGCATAAAATCATGCAGATTTACCACAAAAGCTCAGAGTCAAGGCTTGAAGGAGCCCATGCTTGGGCTTTAATTTGACAAAACTTTCCCAATTTTGTCCACTCGACTGCTTTCTGTCATGACTTACACAAAATGCAGTGTTCTTCCAGGAGATGTATCACATCTAATCTGTAGAGTAAATGGACAGGGAAATACCCTACATACCCATCCCATTGACAGAACATATGTCAAACCTGCAAAAAGGGGGTTCTTAGCTGATATCAGCTCTTCCTCTGTTCATTAGTGATGCTCCTAGTGCAGCACACTCCTCTATGTGTGTTCACATGTTTTCAATGTTGGTGTGCTCCCAGACATTTGTCACTGACTTCCACACCCAGGGAGACAGGGTCACTTCCGCATGACGTGCATTTCTCACTGCCGATTTGATCAATGTTTAATAAGTATCAGATGGGACACAATGTGCCTCGTTTTGCTGGACACATGCTTTTGTCCATTCCTTTCCCTGACTTATTTTAATAAGAGCTCCGGTTTTTCTGCCTCACTGTTGGGAAGACATCTGGCCAAACAGACAGCAACCTAGTACAAAGAGATCCTGCTGGCTCACATGCTTTGGGGACCCCCTTCTCTGCAAACCAAGATGGTCACAAAAAAATATGCAAGTGAGACATCCCCCTGTTACCAGGCTTTGTAGTATTTGTTTTTATAGCATTGCATTCCAGTGACTGAAGACTTTGTTCTCACGCAGGGGGTATACATCTGCAGATTCCTTTTGGGCTCCAAGAAGAAGTTTTGCTGAAGGAGGAGCTGGGTTTTTTTGGTTGTTTTATTTTGCTGTTGTTGTTGTTCCATGGTTTTTAATGCGAGACTAAGTATCTTTGCTCTTTGACGTGGAGTAACCACCTTACACGATCCCTGACTCCTCAACTATATTGTGCTTCAGGAGCACATCTTTGAACACTTGAATATGACATGCACACACTTTTTTTTCCTAAATAGTTCTCTTAGAAGTATTTGACTCTGTGTTCTTTTCTTTGCTCTTGCTGCAGTATCAGAGGTGGCCTCATAATATTTCTGCTAGTAAATCAGATTTGACAAAGATGCGAGGTTCCCTTCATAACCCTGACAATAAATGTACTGATAAGATGAAGAAATGTAGTGCAGGAAATGAAAATACATTAGTTAGGAGAGGTTTTCCCCACTGTGATTCATTGAAAAGAGATAAAATCCCTTAAATTTCGGAAGGAAGACTGCAAGCCTAATTTGCAGCCTTCTAAAGATAAATTTCTCAAAGCTAATGATTTCAAAACTGATAAGCAGTAGATCTAATGCCTATATTTTAAGGGGCCTGAGCAAACTACATACATCTAATTCCAACCCTCCTGCTGTGGCAGAGGGGTTGAAACTAGATGATTTTTAAGGTCCCTTCCAACCCAAACCATTTTATGATTCAACAAGTAAGTAGGAGTCAAGTACTGAGAGGTACTAAACCATGCAGAGTTGCAACAAGCTCACAGTGGGTGCCTATCTGACTAGCAAAAGTAGATGATCCCATCTCCAGGCTTAAATAACTAAATGCTTTGAAAACCTGGCTGTAGTGCTTAAGTTCAGGCACCCAGGTGTAAAATAGTAGGTTTTTATTAATATGCATGACTAGCAGTTATGAAAGTAAGTTTGTCTCATAGGAAAGAGATTTTAAAATTCAGGCGTATAAGTGTGTACATATATACATACATACACACA